CACAGATGGTCGGGGAGGAGGAACACCCAATTTTATACCTCAGTCGGAAACTCCTTCCAAGGGAACAAAAATATGCAGTGGTGGAGAGAGAATGCCTCGCTGTAAAATGGGCCATGGAAACATTACGCTACTACCTGCTCGGGCGCAGATTTGTCCTCGTGACCGACCATGCCCCTCTTCAATGGATGCAGCGGAACAAGAAGAACACAAGGGTGACCAGATGGTTCTTATCCCTCCAACCTTTCCAGTTCCGTGTGCAACACAGAGCAGGGAGCCATCATGGCAACGCCGATGGCTTGTCACGTGTGCACTGTCTGGCGTCCCAAGCTGCCCAACCCCTTGGCGTTGAGCAGGGGGGAGGGATATGTGACAGACCCAGACCAGTGGGGTACAGGAGTCTGGTAGAGGGCAAATATACTGGTCACTGGATGAGTAGTTTTCTGTTCCCTGAGTGACCAGAGCAGGGGCTGCACTAGAGTAATCAGGAACCTGCTAGAACCAGTTAAGGCAGGCAGGCTAATTAGGACACCTGGAGCCAATTAAGAAGAAGCTTCTAGAATGAATTAAGGCAGGCTAATCAGGGCACCTGGGTTTTAAAAAGGAGCTCACTTCAGTTTGTGGGGGGAGTGTGAGGAGCTGGGAGCAAGAGGCGCAAGGAGCTGAGAGTGAGAGGGTGTGCTGCTGGAGGACTGAGGAGCACAAGCGTTATCAGACACCAGGAGGAAGGTCCTGTGGTGAGAATAAGGAAGGTGTTTAGAGGAGGCTATGGGGAAGTAGCCCAGGGAGTTGTAGCTGTCATGCAGCTGTTACAGGAGGCACTATAGACAGCTGCAGTCCACAGGGCCCTGGGCTGGAACCCGGCGTAGAGGGCGGGCCCGGGTTCCCCCCAAACCTCCCAATTGACCTGGACTGTGGGTTCTTCCAGAGGGGAAGGTCTCTGGACTGTTCCCCAACCCACATGGTGAATCTCTGAGGCAAGAAAATCCGCCAATAAGTGCAGGACCCACCAAGGTAGAGGAGGAACTTTGTCACAACACGTGTTAGTGAAAGGTTCTGGCAGCTCTCCATTGCTTTTCACTGCATCATGTAGCTACACGTACACCACATGCTGCCCACACTGGTGTGTAGCACAGGCAGGATCAGCCCCAGGCAAACTATGACTTTGGTGCCTCCCCCCACATTCAATATAGAGAAAAATGAGAAGTCTAGAATGAGCTTTTACCTTTATTTACTTGGCATTTGAAATGAACAATGTAAAAATAACTATTTTTATTTTTTTTACTTTTCATTAATCCTAACACAACTATACTGTATAAAAAAATCACTTCCGTCTAATTTGGCGCCCTAGGCAACCACCTAGTTTGCCTATATGGTCGGGTCGGGCCGGCCCTGAGCATAGGTGTAGCCTAAGGGTTACTCCCAGGAGCCTGTGTAAAATCCAGGGCACAGCACCGATCCTAGGAATCTGTGACACACCTCTACAAAGCTCTAGGCCTCTAACCTAAAACTGATGCTACAAAGTCCCAGCAACAACAATTCAAAAAAGGAACTCGTCCATCTACAAAAGCTCCTTCCCACCTTTTCATCGACCTAGGAAGCATCCCTCAGCCCTCTCCAAAACCCCAGTCAAACAGGTGTCTTTAGCAACATGCGCAGAAGGTCACCAAATTCAGGCTATTTTGGACAAAGAGGAAAACAAGTTCCATAGTCCCAGTGCCCTTCTAGAGAGTGCTCTGCCAGCCATCTATTCTCTTTAATAACAAGAGGGATCCAGCTTGGGCGCCCCTGCTGACTGCAGCTGTGGCAGTCTGGTATGGGGGAGAGAGGTGATCCCTAGGTAGTCTGGTCCCAACCCATTTAAAGCTTTATCCCTTGTAAGCAACACCTTAAACTTCACTTGGAGACCAATGGGCAGCAGTGCAGATCCTAGAGCACTGGGGTTATGTGCTCCCAGGGAGATGCCCCACTCAGTAAGCGAACTGTTGTGTGTGCACAAGCTTCAGGCTCCAAATGGTTTAAGGGGTACAGCTACCCATAATACTTTGGCAGTGAGTGGTGGAACTGTAGGCATTGAAAGCCTTTGGATTCCTTTCCACGTGCCCCTGTTATAGCAGTTACCCTGTATTCCACAAAGGGGTGGTCATCCAAGAACAGAACAGGGTGAGTAGGTTGTAGGTGCATTTCTAGTGGGATGGGGGAATTCTTCAATACACAGAAGGAAACGCCTGGGAAATAGTTCACAAGCGCGTTCATTGCTACCATTCTGGTTCCCTCAAGTTTAAGTAAGTGAAGACCATTGCTGCTGGCAAAACTGCTCCGGCTTTCTCAGAAAGTAACCCAGTGCCTTCGATTCTGAACCCCACTGTGAGAGAGTTAGGGCTCTCACCCTGCAGAAATATACTACCCCATTGTTCTCACAGTCACACACCTGGCTACTTCTATTGCTGATGACAGAATCTGATTCGACCAACACCACACAGAGGAGTCAAAGTGAGACTGAAAGAGTCAAGGCTTCCCCCATCCTCCTTTCCTCTCAGCATGTCGGTCCAACCAGCTTACACCTCACACCCACTTACCAGGATGTAATCCACATCCCCTCCAATTCACTTCGGAATGTGGCTCAGTGAATCCCACTGAGACAGAGAGACTCCAGCTGAATCTAATGGGGTATAACCAAGGGCCCAGACAAAAGAAGTTGAGCAAGAAAAGCAACAGATGGGTGTAGAAAGGTGCAGTAGCCCTCCCTTACCTGACCCTATGCATACTTACACCTTCTCCTAGCGCCTTGGCTGTAAGAGATCAGCTCAGACTCCCTTACACAATTGCAGACAAGGTAGAAATAAGTCTAGAGGAGTCTAGATTAGTCAAAGGAATCCTGAGTGTGAGGGTCTCTGATGGCGGACAGCGGAGCCACACAGGCCCTGGGGTTTTCCCTAGTTGAACTATTGCAATATCTTGTTTATGTTTCTGCCAGGACCCGCTATCTTTTTCATTTTCACTCTGCTGATCATGCTTGGAGAAAATGCTTTCTATTTGGCAGTATTAAAGGGTGGGGGATGGACGGAGGAGGATAGGCTCTTTCCTAGCCTCTCCATTCACCAGTTTGAACCCAAGTTATTGATTAGACATTTCCTGCCTTTATGTGAAGAATATCTCCACGGCAGTATTAGATCTCTCAGTGCTAGGATCAACGTTCTTCCCCACAGGCTTCCTATGCTGCCTCCCCAGAAGCCTCTCAACAACAGACTCCTTGAAGGGCTGACTGTCTCAGCTGCAGGTTTGTCCTGATGCTACCTCTGACAGCAGGTGAGGAGGTCAAATCCCCCTTATTAATATTTATTTGATTTGATTTATTTATTTTTACAGCTGGCTCTGGTGACCCATATTTAATTTTCTTATTTCTTCCCAGCTTGTTTGGGAGAGTAGGAGCCAGTGCTCCAATTTTGGGACTGCTGCAGTTCTAAATGAAAGGCCCTCTCTTGGCCATGTTACGTTGATGCTGGATATAAAAGAAGAGGCTTTGAGAAATAACTTGTTCCTGAATTGTTATTAATCTACAATGCTAAGATTTTAAATTCTAAGCAATTGTGAAGGCTGCCTTTGAGGTGTCACACAGAACCCATTATTGTCACACAGAACCCAAATTTGGGTAAGATGCCTCTGAGGCTGGTAGACCAGCTGCCAGCTCTTGCCAAGGCTGTAGATGTCAGATGAGAACTGACAAACTCATAGCTGGAAACCAGACCAGCTCACCTGTGGGGTTAGTGTTAGTCAAGGTACATATAGACTTACAAGAATGTATTTTGGGTCTAGATTCTACGAAATGCTTGTAAGTTGCTGCATGCATTAATCCCACTTGTAACGTCTGTATCCAATGCTGTAAGATATATGTGCTTTGCTTTATAACTATAAAAATGTTTGCTATGAACCTGTGAACCCTGTTGACGGGGGGAGGGATCATTTCCTACCCATTAAGAAGGTCTATCAAAATTAAATGGGCCATTAAGAAACATCACATACAAAGGCTTGGTGAATAGCCCTGTTGCACCCTGGAAATGCCATGTGCAAGACAGCTCATCCCATCACCTTGAAGTCTGGAGTTCTTTTATGAAGAACATAAAACAGAGATCTTCCAGAGGGGTACATCGACTCATCTAGATATTTGCCTCGTTTTACCACAGGCTATATAAAAAGGACTAGCAAAGTCAGTACAAACTAAAATTTCATACAGACAATGACTTGTTTATACTGCTCTATATACTAGAACTGAAATGTAAGTACAATATTTATATTCCAATGAATTTATTTTATTATATGGTAAAAATGAGAAAGTCAGCAATTTTTCAGTAATAGTGTGCTGTGACACTTTTGTATTTATGTCTGATTTTGCAAGCAAGTAGTTTTTAAGTGAAGCTTGGGGGTATGCAAGGGAAATCAGACTCCTGAAGGGGGTGTAGTAGTCTGGAAAGGTTGAGAGCCACTGACCTAGAGAGATTGACAGGCTCAGGAAGAGAGGAGTGAAGGATAAAGTACCTGGGGTGCCCTGTAGATAGTCCCCAGCTAATGACTGTATATGCTTCATTTCTTTTTTTTTGTCCTTTTCCTCTTCTTTCCCCCACCTCCGCTTCACTATTTCTTTGTCTATTTTTTAGGCTTTGCCCCAGGATTACTTCTTGTGATGGTGGTGAAGGATTTGAATGAAGGAAGTTTATTCTAATCAAATTGTGGAAGTCTCCTATAATTCACACTTAGTGAATAAAATAACCTGAGTACCTATAGTGGAACACACTGCATTTAGAGTTGCTGTGTGATCCATCTACTTATCCAGTAAAACATGATAAATGTGCACAGCAAGGGGCGTCTATCCCACTCCTTGGGAAGACGGTGCTTTGCAAGGGTTGTCGGTGCAGTTATAGAGCTGCTTTGCATTCATAGTTGAATAACTGAAGTAGCAATAGTACAACTACAGGCATACACTAAAGGAACCAACTGTTACTTACTTTAGTTTCTGCAGTTTGCAGTGTGGATGTTTCAGTCCCTCACACAGCAGCTGCACTCCTGAATCCTCCAGTTTATTATGTTTCAGGTTCAGCTCAGACAGGGTCTGACTGGTGCTAAGAACAGAAGAGAGGTCCCCACAACAAGCAGCTGTGAGATGGCAATCCCGCAACCTGCAGACAGAATCATACAGAGGGAAACGATCACTTGTTTCCACCCTACTTGCTGCAACTGTCTTGCTGATGTCAGTGTCCATCTGGAATGGGATAGTTCATTCAGAAGAGATCAGTCACAGGGCTCTAGTAGGAGGCTGTGGGTGTGCCAGCTGAGGATGTGAGGAAGATTCCCAGACCTGAGCCATTCTTTTTAGGTGACAGATCTGAGGAACTGTCCCAGATTGAGGTATCATTAGAGGAGGTTTTAGAACAAATTGATAAATTAAACAGCAATAAGTCACCAGGACCAGATGGTATTCATCCAAGAGTTCTGAAGGAACTCAAATGTGAAATTGCAGAACTACTAACTGTAGTCTGTAACCTATCATTTAAATCAGCTTCTGTACCAGTGGACTGGAGGATAACTAATGTGACACCAATTTTTAAAAAGGGCTCCAGAGGTGATCAAAGCAATTACAGGCCTGTAAGCCTGACTTCAGTACTGGGCAAACTGGTTGAAACTATAATAAAGAATAATATTGTCAGACATATAGATGAACATAATTTGTTGGGGAAGAGTCAACATGATTTTTGTAAAGGGAAATCATGCCTCGCCAATCTACTAGAATTCTTTGAGGGGGTCAACAAGCATGTGGACAAAGGGGATCCAGTGGATATAGTATACTTAGATTTTCAGAAAGCCTTTGACAAGGTCCCTCACCAAAGACTCGTAAGCAAAGTAAGCTACCATGGGATAAGAGGGATTGGTTACTGGTTAAAAGATAGGAAACAAAGGGTAGCTATAAATGGTCAGTTTTCAGAATGGAGAGAGGTAAATAATTCAGCTAATGTCTCAGGCCAATACTCCAACATATACAAAGTGTCCAACATTCAAATTTGAGACTAAGGGTCATAGTCCTGCTTCACTGAAAGCAATGGGAATTTCTACTTAGACAATTCAAAATGTGTACAAATGTCTCCAGACCACATTTGCAATTAATATACAATATGCCAAATATTCTTGTAATGACTCCTATCTTAACCCTTGCTGGTGGATGCATTGGTGCTATTTTTTGCTTCACTAACATCAAATATTTGACAAACATCAGTACTGCTAAAGGTAATTCTGCAATCTCTATCTAAAAGTAATGGGAAATATGAAATGAGGATTACTGAATATTATATATATTATATCAACAAAAATTGATTTGTGATGTCTTAAATCCCTTTTTTAAAGTGTTTTAAGGAGGCTTGGGAATAGTTTTCAAATATTTTACTGAAATCTGTACATTTTAGCTAATTACAGGTGGGATTTTCAAGATCGATCAGTGTTGGCCTAATTCTTACCATTAATTTAGAACAACGGAAGTGACTTCAATGAGAGAAGAGATAGTTCAACATCAAACACCTATAAAAATCCCATTCTAAAGTGATTGTATTGTTTTGGGTTTAGTGACAGATGAAGACAGACATTGGTGCAATAGGGAAGAGGTAAATTTGAAGGCTGTCAAAAACTATAACGTAAGTTAACTAGGCTGGCCATAATTTAGGGGTAACTTGTGCCATGGCAGAAAAGAATAGGATAAACTTGCTCCTGGAGCAATTTGTTTCTCTCTTTTAAAAAAGGGAGAAAGATCTCCACCCCATTTGACTGATCTTCACTGCTTTCTTGTGTCGTGCCCAGGGCTCTTTTTTAACCATGGGATTCAGACAGGAGAATGCTACACTGAAGTAAGAGACATAAATGAAGTCCTTTGCCTGACTTTCTTGCTAAGCTTTGAGGAAATGATTACTTGGGGCATGCTCATATAATCCTAATGGAAGCAAAACACCCACTGAAGTCAATGGAAGTACTGCCTGAATTAAGACTGCTTTGTATAGCATACAAATTGGGAAAGAACAATGCTCTAAAGGTCAAACTGCCAATATCTAGTCACAAAAGGATCTGGTTAGAAATGGCCTAGGGTGGGTGAAACCCTATTGTACCTATTTATTGTATTTTACATCTTAGCGGACTATATAAATAGATGTTTTTGTTCAGTAATCCTCATCCAACATTTGTGGTAAATTGCAAGCCACAAGTGGTCAAGCAGTTATTGTTTTTCACCATGGTATTCACTGGTTAAAGAAAATACATACACTATGTCATTTATTGGCTATCAAAAGGCTGAACTACTAAATCTAACTAAGAAATCTAGATAAGTATTAACATTTTCTAATCTTACCAGTTAATCCATGCACATTTCTTTTTTTGTAATGAGAACAAAGAGGCACATTCTGAAAAACTAGCTAATCGTGTTAGCTGAAAAATGAGGAAAACTCATTGTGAAAATCATCATGAAAATGGTGAGAGTAATTAACCGTGAGAGTGATTAACCAGTGGAACAATTTACCAAGGGCCCCGGTGGATTCTCCATCACTAACACTTTTAAAATCAAGATTGGATATTTCTCTAAAAGATCTGCTTTGGGAATTATTTTTGGGGAAGTTCTATGGCCAGGGTTATACAGGAGATCAGACTAGATGGTCACAGTGATCCCTTCTGTCCTTGGAGTTATAAGAACGTCCATTCTGAGTCAGACCAATGGTCCATCTAGACCAGCATCCTGTCTTCTGACAGCGGCCAATGCCAGATTTCAGAGGGAACGAACAGAACAGGTAATAGATGAATCAATGACAAAATGTTTCCTTCCCTCCCACCCCCCAAACTTTGAAACAGTTCTATTGGCTAATCATTTTTTATTACAAAATTACTGGTACTTTTTAAGAGATCAATACAGTAGTTCTAACTCTGGAAAATGAAGGCAATGATAGTCTTGCCAGAGTAAGTACTGTAGGATTGGACCTTTTTAAATAAGCCCAGGGATGTTTTTTTTCTATTAACATTGCTTGGACAATCCTAGACAATTCCTTTAACCAATGAGAAATAACTAAGCATAGGAAAATGTGGTCTGAATATCAGGAAAATTTTCCTAACAGTGAGATTTATTAGACTGTGAAATGGTCATCCAATGGAAGTTGTGGAAGACTCATCACTCGACAAAGCATTGAAGAATATACTGTAAAGAGAAATCCTGCATTGGCAGGGGAAAGGGATAAGATGACCTAGTAGTAGTTCTGCACATCTTATTTCTTAAGGTTCTGTGATTCGTTATATCCTCCAGGGTAAGTAAAAGAATGCGCCACAAAGACAAAGAATCAAATTTTGCCACCCTTACTCATGTTGAGTAGTATCTTACTCTTCAATTAATGGAACTACTCGAGGAGTAAACTGCTACTCAACATGAGTAAAGGTGGTTGAATGTGGCCCAAAATAAAGCCAAATTCAAATGACACCCAAGAAGAATTTGATCCATATAGCCTCCTAAAGTAAAACTGTAACTACCAAGATTTAGCTAAGAATGGCATATTATTATGGGAAATAGTAAATAATAGGCAGTGACTATTCATGTAATGGCATGTTAATAATATACGTTTTAGCAAAGTGACTATGCAGAAAACAGATGTATAAAACTTTGGGCATAAATGGTTTTAATAAAACAATACAAATTGCAAGTATTGTTAATACTGGCAATAAGAGTCTAAAGGTGGCACAACCGTAGGGGCTGAGAAAGACACAAATTAATAGCACCTACTTATTGTTTTGAATGATCACATTTTAGACTTCCTAGTGTTTTTCATCTAAGTGATAGTCATTAGCTGCTGCACAGAGAATTTTCTCTATTTGCATCAAAGCCATGAGATATTGTTTTTAAAAATTCTCTGGCCCCATTGGTTTATGCAACCTCTGTACTTCATTTAACACACCCATTTTTCCAGCTTGACAGGCAGAAAAAAGACTGTTGATAGAAACAGCCTTGCCAGGTGTGAGCCCATACTACAGCTCAATGGTTACTGCAAAGGACCTTGCTTTTTTTCCTGCGACCGTGAGACAACTTTATTTTGTTAACGTAACTTTGTCACACTATTCGATACACCATTAAATAAAACCATTTCAGGCCTATATCCCATATATGCACATGACTGCAAATAATTGCTGCTGCAAAAACTCTGCATAACTTCCCAGAAATTCCCTTTTTGCTACCTGAATGGTATGCATAGTTCACATCCTAAACTGCAAGCTCCTTGGGGAAAGGTCCTTCTCTTGTCTCTCTGAAAAGCACCATAAATACTTATGGCACCATAAGACCATAAAAACGGCCATACTGGGTCAGACCAATGATCCATCTAGCCCAGTATCCTGTCTTCCGGCAGTGGCTGGTGCCAGATGCTTCAGAGGGAAAGAACAGAACAGGACAATTACTGAGTGATCTATCCCCAGCTTCTGGCAAATAGAGGCTAGGAACACCCAGAACATGAGGGTACATCCCTGACCATCCGTGTCCTGCCTGGAGTTCCCAGAAGCCTCTGGCCGCCTGGCCCTTTGGAAGTTTCACCTGCCTTTGGAGCCCCCCCGCCCCAGTTCCCCAGGAGTTCTCTTGGCTGTGCTTCAAGAGGTGCTTGAGGATGCAGGGGAGCAGGAGTGCCCAACTGGTGGAGGGAGCCCTTGGAGACCCACCTGCCCTCCCCTCTCACTGCACACTGAGGGGACTTGGCTGTGGCAGGCAGATCCCATGCACACAGCTGCTGAGGGAGGAGGGACTCTGGCCAGCTCTGGAGCGCAGAGACCAGTATACAGTTTGGGGTGAGGGGGCCCTGCACACACATCCCAATCTCCACCTGTGGCTGGCCCGACTAACCCCCACTGCACCCCATTTTCCCCAGGCTTTGCGCCATGGGTGGCTGCCCACTTGCCCCGCCCTGGCTTGGCCAGAGAATGGCAGGTGCAGGTGCAGTAACTCTTCCTGTTGGATTTACAGCGCTACCGTACTAACCAACACAGACTTAAGGAGACCTGCTGGTACTCACTTTATTTTCTGCAGTTTGCAGTTTGGATGTTTCAGTGCCTCGCACAGCAGCTGCACTCCGGAGTCTTCCAGTCTGTTATCCTGGAGGTTCAGCTCTGCCAGGGTCTGGCTGGTGCTAAGAGCAGAGGAGAGATCCCCACAACAAGCAGTTGTGAGCCTGCACAACCCCAACCTGCATGAAATTATGACAGAGTTAAAAAAAAAAAAAGCTACTTTCCTCTCCGTTTCCCTCACAGATGTCTGTGTGCATCTAGAAAGATTCTGTATTCTGGGAAAGCAGGGAGAGCTCACGACACTCTGACAATAGGCAGTGGCAATATAAAGGTGAAAGGCCCCTTGTGTGGATTTCTTCCATGCACACCTGCTGGGGAGGGGTCAGCAAAAGAAATATCGAGCAATGCCTTCACTGCTGCCACTGCAACTGGTCATAGCTGCCGCCCTTCACCCTGTGTCACAGCCTGCTGCTGCACTGTCATTCACTCCGCTGCTGCCGTTTGCATTCACGCCACCACACTGTCATCTGCACAGTCACCTCCTGCTGCTCCTGCTTCTCCACTGTGACCTCTGTGAGATGGTCTTTTGAGGTTTCACCCAACTCCCAGTATTTTCAGCGCTCAGTGGGGGAACCTCAGGCTGGGCAGTCTTTCACAGAAATGCTGCCCCACAGCCTAGCACTTACACCCAATATGTCAGCTCTAGCAATCACTTAGCAAAACAAGAGACTCCCAGTGGATCCTAATTAACTATCTTTAAACAGGGGAGAGGGGCAGGTCAAATGTTGCCTTATGACCCTTCGACAGAGCCCGCACCTCCAGACACGAACACTTGTCCCTGGCCCAGCCTTTCACTCTCCACTGGAATTTGGCACCCAAGCCCCCTGCTTAGCGAGTTCAGTTCAGTTGAGGGTGATCCCCTCATTCAGGCAGGCTAAGTACAGTTCTGCTGCCCTTCACTTATACAATAAGGATAACAACATTTCATTGCCCCAGCATTTAATATGAAAGTGATTTGTAACCCAACACCAGCCAACGCTGATCACTTGGGCAGCACAGCTCTGGCTGCTGGATACCTTGGCAGAATAAGAGTGTTTATGTAAATACAGTCTGGTCTTAAAGCCCACACACACACCCCTGGTTCATCGTTAGCTGTCAGGGTATAGCCCATTCAAACCTTGCTTACATTTAGGACTAGAGCAGAGATAGATGGGGAGAGAAGCCACTCAGACTTCCAAGCAGAGGATCTAATGTTCTTGGCTGAGAATGGGGGTCCCTGCATTAGGGGTAGGTGGCTTTAACCCCAAACCTCCAATGATGAATAGCAACTGCATCAGAAGGAGGCTAATTTTTCAATTCACTCTGTAGGTGTTTTTGGAACTCGGTTTTCAAGAGAGCTCAGCATTCATCCTGCAGGTCCTCTGAAGCACGGGGCAGAAGCATCACAATGGAGCTGCTGAGAGCTGAGCTCATTTGAAAATCTGACCCCAAGTCAACAGAGTCCCCCAGAATCTCACAAGTATTGGAAACAGGCTTCTGCCTTGGAAACAGAAGAAATTAGCAGAAATGTATTGAAACAGAAAAGGGAAGAGCCAGCGCTTTCCCCAAAGGGCTTAGGGTTTTTTATAATGAATCCATTTGTATCTGCCCTGTTTGTAACTAAACACCCATTCCCAATTGAGTGTATCAGCTCAGAAAGGATGATTCAGAATCTTCAGGGTCCTGAGGCCTCCTTGGCTATTATTGATTTTATATGAAAAGATCAAGGTGTCAAAAGTCATTAAAACAGTCTATAAAATATATTGGAATAGTAAGAGTAAACTCTTCTTAATGAATGCATTTTATTAGGAGTTGGAGTTTTTTGAGAGACTAGCGGGCACTGTGCAGATATCTTGCACTCTGGAGCCAATAATATTTTTAAACAAACTCTTAATAAAATGCGGTATGTATTTATTGCCCAAAGGACTGTGGAGCCAAGTATCTGGCGTGGGCCCACCTTGACTTAAAGTTTCCATTTTCCAAAGAGGGCAGACTGGGTGCATGCTGTGAGCTATTGATGGGGATTCTAGAGAGACACTGAACTCAGTTTCTCCATGAAGTTGCAGGGAGTAAACATCAGACAGCAGCCATACATCCTGTCCCACGCTTTACAGAAAGTAACACCTGTAAATACTAAGGAGGCCAAACATTGCTTACCCCAGTCTCTGCAGTCTGCAGTTTGGATGTTTCAGTGCCTCACACAGAAGCTGCACTCCAGATTCTTGCAGTTCATTTATGCCCATGTCCAGCTCTATCAGTCTCTGGCTGGTTTTGAGAACAGCAGCAAGATCCTTACAGCTAACATGTGTGATATTGCAATAATTTAACCTGCAGGACATAAATGCAAAGAAGTGAGATAACTGCCTGAAAGGAACAGTTGTGATGAACCCGGAAAGAGGCCCTCCAAAAAAATCTTGTCTTGAAAATAGCCACAGGGCTGGTTTAGTAGTCAAGATTTTTGAGGTAGTTTAAGTGAGATACAGTCCCACTAAAATAATCATGTAACATCCAAATTTTACACTTCTTATAAAACTTTTTTTTTTAAATACACACATACTTGGGCTCAAACTATGGCTCTGATCCTACTATTACTCTCTTGGGATCAATCATGGATAATTTCCACCACACACTTTCCTTTTGGGGAAGCAATAATTAAAAAGCTATTCAGGGACTGGGGTAGAATTTATGGGGCATGGTGGGGCCAGGAGGAGGGCAGAGCTGGTAGCTAAAGTGGCAGATCATTTCCCTCCCACAGGTGCCCTCCAATCATGCCCCCTCACTAACACCTCTTCCTCAAGAAACTGCTACAAGTCAGGCATAGGCACCAACTCTGTGAGTGCTCCAGGGCTCATGCACCCATAGAAAAAAAATAGTGGGGGTGGTCCGCATGTTCTTTGCTCTCTCTACTGGGAGTCACCTTACAGCTGTTGGGGGGTGTACTCAGCCAGGAGGCAAAGGAGAGTGGAGACTTCATTCCTTCTTCCCTGCCAATATGCTGCCTCTCCAAAGCCTTCTCTGGTGGGGGGGCACCAGAGGTCTACCTGTCCCTTCCAATTTGGGGAGAAGAAAGTTACTTTTGAGGGGCAAGATAAATGAGACACATAGAGCCCCTAGCAAGGTGGGAGTGGGGAAATAGGGGGACATGCAGAACCCCTGACATGGGGGAAGGGCACGTAGAACCCCTGGCATGGTAGGGAGAATGGGGAACCCTGGTATAGGAGATGGGGGGAAAGGAGGGGAACATATGGAGCCCCCTGGTATGGGGGAGGGGGATATGGAGGACACTGCTTTGGTGAGAGGGAGAATGAGACACTCTGGAATCAGGAGGGCGGATAGAGGGCATACACAGACACCCTGGCAAGAGGGAGGGTGTAGGGTGGGGTTGCAGAAATTCCTAAAATAGATGGGGATGGGAGAGTGGCACCTGGGAGGGCAGGAAATGGAGGGATGCAAGGAGCCCCTGGGTGTCTGCAATCAGCTCAGCTACAGAAGGTATGGAGTGTGTGACACTCTAGTTATTAATATTACAAACCACACATTTTAAAACAGATAGCTTTGAAATGAAATGAAAACCTGAAGGCAAAATTAGGAGGGGGGAACCCAATGTAGTCTAAAAATTGTTTGCTTTACACCTGTCAGGAATGAAAGTAGGGGCTTGGATGAGCATGTAAAATAAAATACATTTCAACCGCTGCTTAAATTAAAAAGTTTCCCATGCTGGTTACTGTAGTTTCTCAGCCCTGGTTCCACAGGGCGTGAATCTCTATTTAAGAATCAGACTCAAAGTATTTTGGATGTATAGAACAAGCTGCAGGATCAAACTCAGTCAACAAGGTGTGTGTGCCATTAGCTATTCAAAACCAATTATTCTGTGTTTAACCAGTGAAGCACAGGGTCTACTTGATCAACTAACAAATCCAGTTACTGCTGCAGATCTGTAGGTCTCACTCCTCAGGAAGGGACAGAAAGTTGCAAGTGCACTGAGCAGGGGGAGCTGAAGCTCAGTGGTGACTCCTCCTAAAGCAAGGGGGATGGAAGGAATTTGGAAAGTGGCTGTGATGGTGACTGCTCTGAGAAGGGAAATCACTGACAGATGTCTTCTTTCACTACATATATATCTTACTTTGATTGCAGATTAGAGAAGCCACCAGGAGCCGAGTGTATAATGGAGAGTGGCACCTTCTTGTCCTCAACAGGTAAGAGGCTAAAAATCACCGACAGACATCGAGAATAAAAGGAGAATAGAAACAGCCATGAGATAAGTCCTAGCCATGTAACTGACTGGCAAAGCTTTGAGATAGATGGGGACAGAAGCACCTCAGCCCTCCTGATGTTCTTGGGAGAGTACAAGGGACACTGTATTAGGGGTTGGGGGCTTTAACCCCAAACCTCCAATGATGGGCGGCCACTATTGCAAAAGGAAGCTGGTTTTGCAGCTCACTCTGCTGGTGCTTTAGGGAAAGATTTTCAAGAGAATTCCACATCCAACATGCAGATCTTTTGAAACATGAGGCAGATGTGTCACAGTGGGAGCTTCTGGGTCTTTTGAAAACCTGGCCCCAAATCTCCTGAGTTTCCCAGGATCTCACAGGTCGGGGTGGAATCTTGTGCTTTGAAAGAAAAGGAGGAGAGCAATGTATTGAAATAGAAAAAGAAAGATCCATAGTTTTCCCCAAAGGGTTGGGTTTTTTTACAATGAGCCCAGCACTGGCACCTGCTTTTCCCTGCCCAGTTTGTAACTGTAAACATACATCCCCATTCCCAGCAAGCTGCACTTCAAAGGGTGTTTCTCCAAACTGCTGATGTGTCTCAGCTGAAAGCAACTTTGGCCCCTGCCCTGGAAAATTCAAAGGCAGGAGCCAGTATGGCTGGGGCTGAAGCTGAAACCCAGACTGAGTATTTCAGCTCAGATGGGGAGATTTAGATCCAGATCCTGGGACCTCTTTTGCTTTCATTGGTTTTAAAATAGAAAATTAAGATATTAAAAGTCATTAAAGTGATTTATAATGTAGGCTGTTAGATCTCATTCTTACCTTTCAGCTATTAAAAAATGGTTTGTTTAAAAAATTAAATATTTATTCCCCAAAGGCCACAGGCTGTGGAGCTAAAGGGTAAGGGTGAGCTCTTTTTAATAAAATGTATCTTATTAAGAGTTGGTTGAAAACTCGTGTGTGCATGTGCGCACACGAATGCATGTATTCCGCTGGTCTTTGAGGAGCTGGATGTGGAGCCAGTTCTCTGGTGTGGGCCAGGGAGGCTGAGTGCGTGTTGTGAGCCATTAATGCTAGTGCTGGAGAGGCACTGAAATCTCAGCTTTTCCAGGTAACTGCAGGGAGCAGCCACAGACCGCATCGAGCACTTTACATAAAGGACATGTATAAATACACAGAGGAAGTCAAATGTTACTTACTTCAGACTCTGTAATTTGCAGGTTGGATGTATCAGTCCCTCACACAGCAACTGCACTCCGGGATCTCTCAGATAATGATTATAACTCAGATCCAGCTCAGTCAGGCTCTGGCTGGTTCTGAGAGCAGCAGCAAGATCTGTACAGCCATCATCTGAGACTTTGCAGCTCTTCAAGCTACAGCAGAGAGAAATGCAGAGATGAGTGAGCCAGCATGAACAGGGCTTATAACACTGGTCTACAATTTTTGAGAAGTCGTCTACTTCAGAGATAAAATGTGCTATTTATTATGTATTTTGATGTGCTGAATTCAAATATGACAATTAAAACAACTGATTGGCTACTGTTTCTAAGATATTTAAGTTTTTACATTTTATGTCTATGTATATTGTGTAGATAGTAGAGTTTTAATCATAAATTGTAAACCTAGGTCTTTTCATGTGTTTATGGTTGCTTTACATGATAATATTTCACCTGTCCTGTTTATGTAACACTTTAAAAATCAGCAAAAGGGTTATATCAATAAAATGTATTATGAAACAAAAGGCAAAAAACTATTATGTACATAGTTTAGTCCTATTCAGTGTCTACTCGGCGCTTCTTGGCTTGTCTCTTGTATTCATTAAATGGAGCATCTCTTGTCACTGTCCAGCAATAGTCTGCAAGCATTGATGGGCTCCATTTGCCCTGATAGCGTTTCTCCATTGTTGCAATGTCCTGGTGAAATCGCTCGCCGTGCTCGTCGCTCACTGCTCCGCAGTTCGGTGGAAAAAAATCTAGATGAGAGTGCAAAAAAATGTATCTTTAGTGACATGTTGCAACCAAGGCTTTTGTATGCCTTGAGGAGGTTTTCCACCAACAACCTGTAGTTGTCTGCCTTGTTGTTTCTGAGAAAATTTATTGACACTAACTGGAAGGCTTTCCATGCCGTCTTTTCCTTGCCACGCAGTGCATGGTCAAATGCATCATCTCGAAGAAGTTCACGAATCTGAGGACCAACAAAGACACCTTCCTTTATCTTAGCTTCACTTAACCTTGGAAATTTTCCACGGAGGTACTTGAAAGCTGCTTGTGTTTTGTCAATGGCCTTGACAAAGTTCTTCATCAGACCCAGCTTGGGTGGTAACAAAATCTTCCTTGATTCAACAAGTGGTGGATGCTGAACACTTTTCCTCCCAGGCTCCAATGACTGTCGGAGTGGCCAATCTTTCTTGATGTAGTGGGACTCTCTTGCACGACTATCCCATTCGCAGAGAAAACAGCATTACTTTGTGTATCCAGTCTGCAGACCAAGCAAGAGAGCAACAACCTTCAAATTGCCACAAAGCTGTCACTGATGTTGGTCATAGTTTATGCAACTCAAAAGTTGTTTCATGTTGTCATAGGTTTCCTTCATATGGACTGCATGACCAACTGGAATTGATGGCAAAACATTGCCATTATGCAGTAAAACAGCATTAAGACTTGTCTTCGATAAATCAATGAACAGTCTCCACTCATCTGGATCGTGAACGATGTTGAGGGCTGCCATCACACCATCGATGTTGTTGCAGGCTACAAGATCACCTTCTGTGAAGAAGAATGGGACAAGATCCTTTTGACGGTTACGGAACATGGAAACCCTAACATCACCTGCCAGGAGATTCCACTGCTGTAGTCTGGAGCCCAACAGCTCTGCCTTACTCTTGGGTAGTTCCAAATCCCTGACAAAGTCATTCAGTTCACCTTGTGTTATGAGGTGTGGTTCAGAGGAGGAGGATGGGAGAAAATGTGGGTCCTGTGACATTGATGGTTCAGGACCAGAAGTTTCATCCTCTTCCTCTTCCTCGTCTGACTCAAGTGAGAATGATTCTGGTGCATCAGGAACCGGCAGTCCTTCTCCGTGGGGTACTGGGCGTATAGCTGATGGAATGTTTGGATAATGCACAGTCCACTTTTTCTTCTTTGACACACCTTTCCCAACTGGAGGCACCATGCAGAAGTAACAATTGCTGGTATGATCTGTTGGCTCTCTCCAAATCATTGGCACTGCAAAAGGCATAGATTTCCTTTTCCTTTTCCTGTTCAACCACTGGCGAAGATTTGTTGCACAAGTGTTGCAGCATATGTGTGGGGCCCACCTCTTGTCCTGATCTCCAATTTTGCAGCCAAAATAAAGGTGATAGGCTTTCTTAACCATAGTGGTTATACTGCGCTTTTGTGATGCAAAAGTCACTTCACCACAAACAGTGCAGAAGTTATCTGCACTGTTCACACAAGTACGAGGCATCTCTGCTCACTTTGGCTAAACAGAAATGTGTCCCTTTGCAAAATCAAACACTGACAAATAAGAGAGCACGACACTGTATGATTTCTAGAGCTGATATAGGGCAATTTGTTCAGCAGAGTGATGTAAGCTTCGTTATGATTGCATCATCCATGACTTCTAGGAATAACATGATGCAATTCATATCATGTGTGATGCAATACCAGCTTCAGATTGCATCATTCATTGTTTTGCCTAAAAAGCAAGTACTGTCCAAACCCAGTCATAGATTTAGTCATAGATCCAGTCAAAGATGTATTTTAGTCATTTCTGGTTTAAATTGAGATCCCTTCCCTTTATAACTCACTTATCCTCCGCCATTCCCAAGTCAAGGGTCGTATATACTGACCCAATAGCATATCTTGAAAACTAGAGCCAATCAACAATTTTAAGCATCATTTTCGTTCTCAGTGACCCAGAATTAGTAAAGTTTGACTACATTTATTTCAGAAGCATTTTGGCTGTAGAGCAGTGTAACAGATGTTCTGACAGATGACTCTCTTCATGAAGAGGGACTGATGGGCAAACAGAAATCCTGCCTTAGGCCCGCAATCTCTACTCCTTGATCAATGAGAAACCTGTGTTGGGTGGGACTTCCTTCTTAAGCCCTGTCACTTGCACTTCGCCTTTGACCAATTAGCACTGAGAATGACTCAAACATCTGCCATTGATCAATGGTGAGGAATAAAGTTTGGGGTAAGACTTCCTCCTGAGGCAAAGCCCCTAGCCCTTTCCATTGAGCCACCAGAGTTCAGGCTGGCCAGAAAGTTGTCCACCTAGAGACTGTTACCTTGATGTGGTGGGGTTGCTTGAATGTCGCCATGCCCCACAGAGCTAAGACAGAGGGAGTTTCATTCTCCTAGTAGAGTCACCCAAGCCAGACAGGCTGAAGGGTAGAGACCAGACAAAAAGCAGTTTCCTGGTCCTCCAAATTAATCAGGAGATTGACAACCTAACCCCATAAAACACTTTTGTTACAGAAACAGAACAACAATTAAGACACAAAATACTGATCCCTGGATCAGTGGTTAATCCTCCAATGGACAGCATGATGGATATCAACCAAACCCTGCTACAGTAAGATGTTGTTGCAATGAAAAAGTCACTGCTCTAGGTTCATTTGTAACTTTGGAATGTGTGAATTATTCTACAGATCAGAAAGTCAGCCCAAGTCAAAGAAGTGAAAAAAATTACAGTACTGTACAGACATCTTTGGTATTAGTGAATGCAGGTGGCCAGGCATAGATATCAGCAAAAGGAGAAACAGAAACAAAAAGCACTTTGATTTATTCAGGGATCCCAGATGGAGGAAGAGAAGGAATTGCAAAGATCTTGAATGATGCAGCACAAACAGCCTTTTCGGACTGGGAACATTGTAAATGGCAGAATTACACATGCAAGATTTCAGACGCATTATATGAAAATGGGCATCATTCAGTGCTGTGCCCCAACCTGTGAATGTGATGAAGATTAAGATATTTTATAACATTCTAGAGGACTGCATCAGGAAAGTCCCACAGCATGGGTGTAGAAAGATCCCAAGTCTAGAACCCAGGTCTGTAGGGTTCCAGGTGGCTAATGTATCCATGCCATGATCCAACAGTCATGATAGCATTATGATCCATGCACTATATGCCCTGCAACAGAGGAAGTGCCTATAGCTAACTCAGCCATGGATGGTCAGGCCTAGTGGAGGAAGCAAGAATTCAGCCTACTGATTAGAGCTGGGTCCAGGGTGGGCGAATCCAGTACACAAGCCGCAGGTCAAAACCAGAGGAATAGAAGCCAAATGCCAGAACCAGAGTCGTGAACCAGAGGGGAAGCCAGGGATTGAAGCCAAAAGTCTGAAGCCAGAGGGGAGTAGGGGCTGGAGCAGAGCAAGAGCAGGAACTTGAACAAGGACAAGTGCAGCTACAGGCATGGAACACATTCAGCAGCCACTAAGCTGCTGCGTGGGCTAGGCTTATAAGCAGGGCTAAACCAGCAGGCAGTAAGGGGCTGTGGCCACTCTGTCAGTTTCAAGGCAGTGCAGCTGGGCTCATTGGTTGCCTAGCAGGCCAGCAGCTGGTCCCCAGGGCTGTATTTAGCTCTCCTGGGGAGGGAACAGTGCATGTATTGAGGAGGGGAAGCTGCAGCTCATTAACACCCTAAACAGCAGGAGAGCAGGATGAAAAGTGAATGCAGGGGTGGCTGCACAAAAGGAAGAGAAATAACTAACGGATGGATCAGAGATGTCTTGGATTGTAGGTAATATTTTTTTCCCTCACTGCAAGGGTCCTGATGGGTAGCAGTTCTTTCTTGCTCTCACATGCTTGGGATGGGCAGAAAGTATCACTGACAGAGACTCAAATCTTAGCCTTACCATGTACCTGCAGGCAGCTCAGCATACCCCTTACACACCCAGGGCCGGTGCAACCACTAGGCGGACTAGGCAGCCATCTAGGGCACCAAGTGGTTGGGGGCGCCAAAAAGCGGTGCCCCAAACATTTTTTTTTAAACAGCGGAGCACAAGGCTGCCGCTGTTCCCCACCTCCTGGCTCTAAAGGGGCTGCCTGCGGCGCGACCAGTCCCTCCCCCCAGGGGAGCAGCCGGCGGCCGAGCGGGGAACGGGAGGGTCTAGCGCTAGCAGCTGCACCTTCTTCCCCGGGCCGAGTCGGGCTCCCCGCTGCCCCTGGGGCTCTCAGCGGCGGCGGCAGCAGGCTCGGGCGTGGGGGGGCTGGCTGCCTGTGCCGCCGCTGAGCGCCCCTGGGGCAGCAGGGAGCCCGGCTCGGCCCGCGGCGCGGGGAAGAAAGCGCAGCTGCGCTTTGCTCTTTGGGCAGAGAAACTGGGTGTCTACTCTGCCTGCAAGGTACCTAGCCAAGCCGCACGGGCCCGCAGAGCGCCGGGGGGTGGGCAGGTCCAGTCCCTGGCCTGGGGAATGGTGTATGTGGGAGCAACCCAGGCACCCCTCCCCCAGCCAGCGCCACCCCCACCCCTCCAACACCTACCGACCAGCTACCTTCTCCCCTGTGCACCCCCCGCCCCAACAACCCACCCTGTCCTGCCACTTTTGCCTTTGGGCAACCTCCACCCAGCAACACCCCCGCCCCCCAGCCAGCCACGGTCACCTTCACCCCTGCATCAACCTTGGGACCCCTCCCCCCCCACCTGCCATCTCCCTTCTGCCCACTCCTCCCTTGTACAAACCCCTCCCTGCCTCCTTCACCCCCCTGCAACAACCCCAGGCACAAACACCCCCTTGCAACAATCCCCTCCTGCCCACTTCTCCCTTGTGCCACTCCCTCCCTGCAACGAGCCGCTTTTGCCTCTGTGCAATCTCTTCCCTGCCATTCCACCCTCCACCCCCTCCACCTCTTGGCCACCTCCACTCCCTGCAACAATCCCATGCACCCCCATTTCTGCCACCTTCACCCCTGGAAGAGCCCCCATACGACCCCCCCTCTTTTCAGCCCCCCTGTGACACCTGCACTTTGTGAACATCTGGGCCCCTGGGGGGAACTTGGCTGTAGGAAGGTGGGGGCTGGACATCCGGGGGGGGGGGGGCGCAAGGTGGAAGTTTTGCCTAGGGCACAAAATATCCTTGCACCGGCCCTGTCCACACCCCCTGTCGAGTTCTTCACATAAAGGAAATCTGTCAGTACTTACCTCAGTCTCTGCAGTTTGCAGTTTTGATGTTTCAGTCCCTCACACAGGAGCTGCACTCCCGTATCTCTCACTTCATTAGCAGTCAGGTCCAGGTCTGTCAGGAACTGGTTAGTGCTGAGAACAGAGGAGAGGTCCCCACAACAATCCGCTGTGAGTTTGCAAGACCTCAGACTACAGGAGATAGATGCACAGATTAGAAAGTGAGCAGTTCTGTCGGTCCGGTCCTTCCCTTGCTGTCAGGGGGTTTGTAGAAACACTACTTTATCAAGATATGAAATCCTAGTCCTGGGGCAATGGGTACTAAGAATGTAAACACACGTCAGGCCAGATTCTCAGAATCACTAAGCATATTGCTGGATGCTGAGCTGTTATAAAAACTTCACCCTTAGGACTGTGGGTGGCTTCTGATCCACCTGCATCTCTCATTTATTCTGTATTCAGCATGTACTGTTCAGGTTAACGCATGTCCTGATGCAGTTGCAATCCCCTAAGCACAGAAACAGTTCAGCCTCCCCTAAAGAGAAACTTTACAACAAACAAGGAGTAAGAGGAGAAGGTAAATAGGGGGAGGGGGGGAAATAAAAGGGAGGTTACAGGGAAATAATGAAAATGGTGCTCCACTGGGGAGATATATATTAATCACATGGATGGGGCAGCCTGTTTTCTGACTTGCTATTTAGGACTCAAAACTGAAATGCAATGAAGTCAGACAGCAAAGCAGGAACTGGGAGTAGACAGTGGTCTGGGATAAGAGGACAGGAACCAGGAGGAATCCAGGGTATCAGCCAACCAGGGATTCCTCTAGTTGCTCAGACAACTTCCTGTGTTATTTCCTGGCTTATATAGAGCTCCTCAGCCAGTTGGGGATGCTGGATGTTTTCCCCAATTGGGAGCTTCAGGGGTGGGGTCCTCTGCAAGCTAGCACTTCACTCGTTCCCTTTTCTAATTACTCAGGTGAGCTACTGGGTGGCAGTTGTGTCCTAAGTATGACCTGGGGGCCTGGGTTCAAGGCCTGCAATCCCTTACCAAAAACAAAGAACCTGCTATGGAATATGAGGGGAGCATTCTGATTTTGACACCTCATTTTTTTAAAATATCCCATTTCTATTCTACCATCCTCCTGCATTTTTCCTGGGCATCTCTATACAGCACATTGAAGGGCTATAACAGATGTATACTTTGTGGTTAACATACATCACATATTATAATGATAAATTGGTGCAATTCTATAATCTTGTATAGGTATCAATTCCTTTAGATTCTCAATTATTGGAATCTGAACAAACAGAAAAAAGAGGGAGGGGGTGAAATAGAGGGTATGTGTTTTTTTTTTTTTTTTTTTTAAAAAGAGCTATCTTATCTTTTAGAACTGGAAGGGACTTTGAAAGGTCATCAAGTCCAGCCCCCTACCTTCACTAGCAGGACCAAGTACTGATTTTTGCCTCAGATCCTTAAGTGGCCCCCTGAAGGATTGAACTCACAACCTTGGGTTTAGCAGGCCAATGCTCAAACCACTTAGCTATCCCTCCTCCTTTGCTTGCCTTGCAACTGAGAAGGTTTCAAGTCTGAGACAAGGCTGGTTGTCTGTCCTCTTTTTTTATGCAATTTGTTTCTTACATACACAAAAAATAGAAGGAGCGGTATCAGCTTGAGCTCTGTAAGCTAATCACCAGAGAGGGAACAGCACACTGACTGATACCTCAGAGTTCACCTAGAGGTTTTCTTGGCCTTGTAGAATGGGGGTCTTTGGGGTCATTTCCTACCCACCATTAGAAGATTTTATATATGTTTACAGAGGGAGCTGAATAGTTGTACCAAACTAAAAAACCATTTGAAAGATGGACATACACTGACACAAACAATTCGGGTATATTGAATCTCAGCCAGGCACTACTCAGTTGTGGTCAGTGTTGTCTGTCTGCCAAGTGCTAACTCTCAAGAACTGAGGCTAGTAGCCCTGGTTTATTTCTGTTCATCTTCCTTTAAAAGCAAGAAAATTAAATGACCTAAACTTTTGATAATGCAGAGTCAAGGTTGCCCAGTGTGACCTTGTGCCCTTCCAGCAAAAATATAATAAAAAACAACAACCACAAATAAAAAACAAAACAAAAAATCTTACTTCTGAAAACTGGGAAATACAAAGTTAAAGTACGTTCCACCCCACAATACAACCTTAACTCTGCCCTCTTTGAGCAATGCCTCAACATGCCAATAACCCATATATTAGCACTCTAGTCTTACAGATAATACAGAACACTCTGTATGAGCACCATGGGACAAAGTCTAACACCTTCTCTTTACTAAGGCAAAACTTGGGTTAGGTCAGATTTAGCAAGCAAGAGCTACCTAGACCTGGCCTACACTCAACCACTGATGGCTAAATCCACAAAGGGATGTAGATGCCTAACTGCCACTTTAGGCACTTAAGCCTAAAATGTAGCTCTTAAAAACCCCTGTTCAGCTGCTATCTAACCCTGTAAGTGCCTTAATTCCACTGGTAAAGTCCTCTAGGCACCTAAACTTCTGCTAGTAGGCAGGCACACAGCCACCTAAGTGGCCATTGAGCTGCAGGAGTCTCAAACTCAGCATTGTACCATGTATCCCACCTGTGGGACCCAATCTAGTAGGCATGCTCAGAGCACACCAAATCAGGTCCCACACAAAGGGTGGCCAACGAAGTGATGGTGCTGCAATGACTATTTAAATATTTTATACAAAGTGGAATGGCTCCAGCAGGAGGAATTGAGAGAGTTCCACCATAGAATACTCCACATCCCGGTAGTTAGGATACTTCCTTGTGATGCAGGAGACCTAGGTTCAAGTCCTTGCTCCAAATCTGGCAGAGTGGGGATTAGAATTAGAGTCTCCTAAATCCTGGGTGGAAGTGCTAACCACTACACAATAGAGCATAAGGAGGAAAGGACATCAGCGCTTCCCTCCTATGAAACCCCTAGTGGAGATAGGTGCTTCCCTCTGCCCAGCCTCAGCATTTCCTACTGTCTAGCTCAGGCAGTTCAGTGTACTGGCTTCTGTGAATCCCATTCTTAGGCACCTAACCCCCCCTCCCATCCCCCCACGGCTGGGTTCCTAACTTGGGTCTGCAGATACTCCTAGGTAGCAGGGCGCCTAAAGCTACATGTTGCAATGCCAAGCTGGAGTCCCCTTCGTGAATCCAGCCCTGAGCCTACTGCTCATAAACCTTCTCAGACTTACAAAATGTTACCCCCCCTTGCGCTCAAGATTCCTTCTGAGGCACTGCCTTCTCCTACAACTCACTAGGCCTTAGAGACCACTGTCATATATGCCATTAGATGGCTGACTATCGCCATGGCAAGAATACACCCTTCTAAATCTCTACTGACACAACCTACAGAGCTCAGCACTGAAATGAAAAAGAGTTGATCTATAAAGATACACACATGCATCTCCTCTCATATCACAGTCACAACTCTGATAGCCTGCTCCAACTGATCCCTCCACAGTACATACAAATGCATAAAACCGGGGAAATGACAGCTAAGGTGCATGCAGATAAGTGTTGCAATTCAAATCTGAGAAACACAGCACAAACAATGGCACATTCTTAGTATTTCCACATCTACTTATGATTGGACCACCCTTACTGAAACATTCCCAAGGGCTATTGCCAGCTCTAGCAGGGCAAAGTTAAGGGTGCATTGCAGGGGTGGTGTGTAGTGTCACTTTGTATCTCCTAGTTTTCAGAGGTTTAAGTTTAGCCACTCTCCAGATTCTGGAAGGGCATGAGGCAGGACTGATTGGCCTTAACTCAGTGTTATTGATTTTTTGGGGGCTGTTAATATATGGTAGTTACACCAGCAGTGGCAAAGAGAGCTGAACAGCTGTAGAATTTCTTGGATCACAAGCAACAACAATAGGATTTTTAAAAGGACAGAATAATTTCTTACCATAGTTTCTTTAATTTACAGTTTGGATCCTTCAGTGCTTGACAGAGCAGGAAAACACGTGAATGCTTCAGCTCATCCTGATGTTGTTCCCTAGAAAGAGAGAAGAGGAATGTTCTGTCTTGGTCTCTGGAGACAGATTTTAATTCTATTTCCTGAATATTCAAATAGTCTCTTGGGTGGTGTGATCATACACTGCATATGATTTATTCTACAGTCTCACAAAAATGAGGAGTCCGGTGGCACCTTAAAGACTAACAGATTTATTTGGCCATAAGCTTTCATGGGCAAAAAGCACCCTTTGTCTCCATGCATCTGACAAAGGGGGCTTTTTGCCCACGAAAGCTTATGCCCAAATAAATCTATTAGTCTTTAAGGTGCCACCGGACTCCTCGTTGTTTTTGTGGATACAGACTAACACGGCTACCACTCTGATACTTGTCTACAGTTTCAGTTCACTGTAAATCCCCATCCCCACAAAAATGTATCTAGTATCTTAGATGTATTTTAAATTCACAGATTGAACTAGAATAGGTGCTACTAAGAGTAACTGATTCATTTTTTGAAGTTGTACTCTGATCCCTGGTGAGCACTCACACAAATGGGACTGTCACCAGTGTTTTTGTGAAGATCTATAATTATTTCATCATTTGAGATTCAACAGAAGATAAGGGTTTTTTAAAAAAAATTTAAATTGTTCAGACACTTTGTGAATAATAAGGCAATGTTCATTCAGTGAGTTATTAATTATAGGCACAGCTCTAACAGATGTTTCCAAAAGATATTACAGATTTGATATTTTAGTTGGCATAAAAATTTTGCCTACTATCCTCCTTTAATCCCTCCATATATGCCAGTAACACCATCCCATCCTGTCTCATGACCTAACATCTCTTCAATCTCTCCCCTTCCCTCACCATTTTACTCAAACTCTCCCTCTCCTCTGGTCTTTTTCCATTTCTATTTTACTGTCCCCTATAAAAAACCCTACCCACCTCTCCAACTATCGCTTACTCTCCCTTCATCTCCCAGCTCATTGAACGTGCTATCTACAACTGCTGTTTGGAATGCCTGTCTCCAATTCCATCCTAGACCCTCTCCAATCTGGCATTTTCTCCACAGAAATTTCCTTTACCAAAGTCTCTAATAATCTCTGTCTAGTTAGATCTCAGGGTTTGTATTCAATCCTTCCCCGTCACAACGTGACAATGCTGACCATTCTTGAAATCTTTTACTCTCTCAGCTTTCATGACTCTGTCCCCTCCTGCTTTTCTCTTCTAGTCAGTGTTTTATTTGATGGATCATTCTCATTCCCCTCCAACATTCATTGGGGTTCCACAGGGCTCCATGCTTGCCCCCCTCCATATCTCCACTTACATCCTATCACTGGGCAATTTCATTCAAAACCATGGCCTTGACTATCATCTTTATGCTGATAACTCAGATTTATATCCCTTCTCTAGACCTCTCTCCATCCAGACTAAAATCTTGGCCTGTTTTTCTGACATCTCCTTATCTAGGTCCAGCCATAACCTTAAGCTCAACATGGACAAAACTAAGCTCTTGATCTTTCCTTCTCCCCCAATCTCTCCCTTCTCCCAGTAACTGTGGAAAGCACCATCATCCTTCCAGTATCACATGCTCCTAATGTGGGTATTATTTTTTACTCGGTCATCTCTCTAGATCCACATATCCAGGCCATGTCTAAAGCTTGCCACTTCTTCCTGAACAACATTCTAAGGTCTGGTCTTTCCTTTTGGGCCACAGAGCTACAACTCTAATCCAGCCCTTGTCTTCTTACATCTTGGCCTCTACAATCGCCTCCTCTTTGGCTTTAACAAATGCAGTCTTGCCATCTCAAGTCCACACAAAATGTTGCTGCTAAGATAACCTTCTTGCCTTGTTCTTACTATATCAGTCCCCACTTTGCATTTCTCCATGATTTAGCTATGTTTCTGCCACTGCTGTGGTATCTGAGTGCCTTCCACGAGTCTCCTTCAAAACAAACTCTGTAATGTGCCCCATTCTTTAAGGGACTCTGTTCTTTAAAGGACAGGTCCCATTAATACAAACAATTAAAATACAGCGATAAGCAAATAGAAACATCCAAATCCACCTTGTAATATAATTGTTTTCAATCTAAAACCATTTAAACTATTAATCAAGAGTCCTCATGCTGGCTTACTTATATTTTCTCACACATGGGTTATTAGCTTGGTTTGAACCGACAATCTTCAGCACAGACTTCTACCACTTCAGCTATAGGAGTCACTCTTGGGTGGGAGCTGTGCTGTTAACCTCTGTGTGGAATAGCCATAGTTGGCTATGCAGCTATGTATGAAGTAATACTGGAATGTTGGGTATCATGATTCTTAGGCTGGGTTCTGTTCCTGACTCTGGGATCAGACTATAGTCTACTGGTCAGAGTCAGCATAGGTAAGTGTAAAGATCCTCATGTTTGGGTTGTCTGCAGGGTCGGTAGAGCTGGAAACATGAGTTTCAACCACTTGACTTAAAGGACCACTCCTTTTTAGCATGGAGGCAGTATCAGACTCATCAGCCTCAATGTGATCTAGCCACAGGAGAGGAGCAAAGAACCACGCTATATTAGTAAGGGTTACTCAAGGAAATATGTTGGCCCCTTTCACCTCACAGGCAATGTGACACAACGACAAAAGAACCATCAAAGTCCTAGTCCCAGGGAGAAAGAAGACCCAGAAGAAAAGTCTATGCCTGCTGCGCTTTAATTGATGCATGGAAGGGGGTCGATAAGTCAGACAAATGGTACAGTCATATAATGCAACCAGGTAGATCCTAGCCTGGTACAGGAGAATTGGGATGTCTATTAGAGACCTGGATTCTATCCACAGCTCAGTGACCTTAGTTATCTTAACTGTCAAATGGGTGAATGACAGTTACATCTCCCCTAAGCCAAGGGTCTGAGGACTTGGTTAACAAGGGCTGTGACATGCATAGAAATATTAAGAGCAGCAAATAGAAGAGTTAGAATTAGAAGTCTTGGCCTTTTCTCTGGCAGTTCAATATACTTCACTCACCATGAGGAAATGTGTGATGGACCTGCAGATATGTGAATGTCATGCACGATGTGAGACACTTGGCAGGGCTAGTTAAGATTGTTTTGGAGTCCTGCTGAGCTGTTAATACTGGAGCTGTGACAGGACAACACTTATGAAACGAAGAGTTTATTTTCTTTATAGCTGATATTGACTGATAGGGAACAAACTTCTGAAATATTGTTTAAATTGTATGTAACACTGAATAACCATATTTTACTGCACGTGGATAAGAGTTGTCCAGTGAAAACACTTCCTCTTTATTAGTTTAAAATGAACCATGATAGTGGGGTACTGTTGACCCTGCATAAAGTTATGGTGGAGTTTTCAGTTTAACAGGACGGTTAAACCTTCATTTTAAAGAAAAAAGATCTTAAAAGTGGCAATAAAATAGAAATTACAACCGCCAGAGTACTTGAATTCATCAGACTCAACGAGTCTACTGCTCAACCTAACTGCAATAGTCCAAGAATAACGCTCTAAGATGACAGGCAAGTACAAGGCAACCTAGTGTCATTTAGCCCACACAGTGTCTGAGCACTGAGCCATCCAAGGATGGCGCTTTAAAGACTATGAAAAAATGATGTGCACTGTCAAGCTGATACTCAGCATGTAGCTTTACTCTGCTGCTGCTGTGAATGAAAGGCAGGGAATTGGGTTTGTTCTGTTTTGCAAGCGAAGCATTATTTTCCTGACATTCCCTGAGATTAGGTAGAACCTTCTGTCCTTTAAGGTTAGTAAGTTTAGTGAAATTTTAAAATAAGAAGAAAGCTTGAATTTGGATAAAAAGAATCTGAAAAATTCAATTATTTTTTTCTACCTTTATTGAGGAGGAGAATATAATTGTACATTGGGGGCATGGAAATATGGGTCTATTTCCTTAAGATTTCCTTGCCCCTTGATGAAGGGCTTTTCAAAGATCATTTGAAGTCTCAGTGAATAGCACTCTACTTTCCTCGTACAATTGTTGACACAAAGCATGCTTCCCTCCCCAGCTCTTTGGTCTCACCTCACTCCTGTTCATAACCCATTTACATAACACTATAGCAAACATTTCAGTCACTGAGTGGACAGAGCAGACCAAACAAACATGCTAAGAAAAAGGAAAAACGCCTTTTTTGGTAGTAAAAAGAACAGGAGTACTTGTGGCACCTTAGAGACTAACAAATTTATTAGAGCATAAGCTTTCGTGGGCTACAACCCACTTCTTCGGATGCATA